TTACTTTGAATATTTCTTGCCACTCCCGTCTGGCCTGAATAGTTTCTGTTGAGAAATCAGCTGATAATTATATCGGTGCTCCCTTGTAGGTAACTAACTGTTTTTCTCTTGCTGCTTGTAAGATTCTCTCTTATCTTTTGCTCTTGGCATTTTAATTATGATGTGTCTTGGTGTGGTTCTCTTTGGATTCCTTTTGTTTGGGGTTCTGTGCGCTTCCTGGACTTGTAAGTCTATTTCTTTCACCAGGTGGGGGAAGTTTTTGGTCTTTATTTCTTCCAATAGGTTTTCAGTGTCTTGCTCTCTCTCTTCTTCTTATGGGCACTCCCATAATTCTGATGTTGGTTCCCTTGAAGTTGTCCCAGAGGCTTCTTACACTATCTTCAACTTTCTGGATTCTCTTCTCTTCTTGATTCTCTGGAAGAGTGTCCTTTGCCTCTTTGTATTCCAAATCTTTGATTATATAAAATACACACCAGATTTTCCTGATGATCCCTGATTTTGGGTCTCTGTATAATATTTTTTATTTCAGTCAGTGTATGTTTAATTTCTAGTTGGTTTAATTTCTTTTTCATACCCTCTAGGGTAGGGGTGTCGAACTCAATCAGAGAAGGGGCCAAAATCTAAAATCCAGCCTAAATCGCGGGCCGAATGGTTTACTGAACAGTCATAAACTGTCATTGTGATGGAAACGCAGCGGAGTGCAGTGATGACAGCGCGGTGCGGGCCACATTGCAAGGCCTGGTGGGACGGATTTGGCCCGCGGGCCTTGTGTTTGACACATGTGCTCTAGGGTCTTGTTAAATTTATCGGTCTTTTCTAGGAAATTATTGAAAAACCTTATAACCCTGGTTTTGAACTCTATGTCCAGTCTTTTGTTCTCCATTTCTTTTGTTTGAGATCTTCCTTTTCTCGGCATTTTTGCTGCTTATGCAAAAGCAGCTGTGTGGAGCCTGGGTGGGTTTGTAGAATGTATGGGGCGGGGCCTCAGGGCGGGGTGGGATCTCAGGACATCACTAGGCCAGGACATGGCAAACAGCAATGACTGCCATCAGTCCTCTCTGCCTTTCAGCGTTTCTAGGTCTCCGCCCTCCAGTGCAGTAAACAATGATTGCTGTGCGCACCTCTAGGATTTTCATCTTTTCAGCGCTTATGCTCCTTTCTCTTTTAGCTAGCTTTCCTGTGGTTTTGGTTGGTAGAACTTTTGTCATTTAGTTGTAGTTTTGAAATTGTGCAAGGTGGCAGATTAGTTGCTCACCTACACTGCCATCTTGGTTTCTCCTTTTATTTTATTTTTAAATATATTTTATTGATTTTAGAGAAGAAGGAAGAGGGAGAGAGAGATAGAAACATCAAGGATGAGAGAGAATCATTGATTGGCTGCCTACTGCATGTCCCCTCCTGGGGACCGAGCCTGCAATGCAGGCATGTGCCCTTGGCTGGAATCGAACCTGGGACCCTTCAATTGACAGGCTGGTGCTCTATCCATTGAGCTAAACCAGCTAGGGCAGGGGTGTCGAACTCAATCAGAGAAGGGGCCAAAATCTAAAATCCAGCCTAAATCGCAGGCCGAATGGTTTACTGAACAGTCATAAACTGACAATGTTAACCAGAAATGTGAATTTAAAATGAGTGGAACAATCTTTTCCTTAACAGTGCTGTTAACCAACTCACATGCTATCAAGCAAAACAGTAATATTGGTATCAAGCAAAACAGTAATATTGGAATGTACCTAAAATGCTCATTGTTTTGTTTTCTGGCTAGATGTCTGACACCATTTTCCCTGGATCAATGAGTCAATGTTCGGTTTTATTTCTTGGGCTGTAGCAACCCGCAAAACAGCATGGAGGTTGTCATCGGTAATGCGTGATCTGTGCTTGTTTTTGTTCAGATTCATTATTGAAAACATCTGTTCACAAAGATAGGTGCTCCCAAACATGGATAGAATACGGGCAGCATGAAGTCGGAGCTCTGGCATTGAGTCGGGGCAGTAGAGGGTAGAAGTCCTCAATTTCAACATCCTGAAACCTTGATTTCAGGCCACTGTCAGACTGAAGCTCGATTATCTCCATCTGAAGGTGATGGGGCACATTGTTGACATCAACTGTAAAAGGATTGGCAAAGATGTCAAAGCCTGAGTGCTGTGTTCTAAAGTCAGAGAAGCGCCGCTCAAATTCACTTAGTAAACGGCTAACTTTGGTAGCCAGCCGACTGCAAGGAAAAGTACCAGAAATAGTGGTTGAGATACTCAAACAAACGGGAAAGTGGGCAAGATTGTCCTGTTCCAGTTGGGACTTCCATACGCTGGAATGCTGTGATCATGTCAGACATCTTCGTGATGACTTGTTTGCGTCCCTGCAGCTTCAGATTCAGTTGGGCGAGATGCTCGCATATGTCACACATCATAGCAAAATCACATAGCCAGGCGGGATCCGACAGTTCAGGCAAGGGCTTTCCTTTACTTTCCATGAAAAGAGCAATTTGTTCTCTGAGCTCAAAAAATCTTTTGAGGACTGCGCTCTTGCTCAGCCATCTTACTTCTGTGTGGTATGGCACGTCTCCATGCTCTGCACCCACCTCCTGTAAAAACTGCTGGAACTGGCGATGATTCAGGCCACGTGCCTGTATAAAGTTAATAGTTTTAATGACTGTGGTCATTATGTCATTCATGTCCAGAACTTTTCCACACATAGCCTCTTGGTGGATAATGCAATGATAAGTAATCAAGGGTGTGTGGCAGTGACTTTTTTGCATTCTTTCCTTCATTAGTCCAACCAAGCCTTTCTTTTCTCCGCACATTGAAGGTGCGCCATCGGTAGTTAGCCCCACCAACTTTTCCCAGGGTAATTTAAAATTATTTATAGATTTCTCCACAGCCTCAAATATATCTCTACCAGTCGTCGTCCCATGCATGGCAGCTACATCCAAAAGTTCCTCAGTGACAGAGAGGTCGGTCTTTGTAGCACGTATAAAGATGGACAGCTGCGCTGTATCAGTGTTGTCTGTGCTTTCATCGATAGCAAGTGAAAAAGCGAGATAACTGCATGCCTGTTCGGCCAGCTGTGATGATAGATTTCCTGAGAGTTCTTGAACTCTATCTGCAATGGTGTTTCTTGACAAACTGACATTTTGAAAACTCTGTATCTGGTCTGGGCATACTTGCTCACACACTTTTAGCATGCATTGCTTCAAAAAGGCACCCTCTGAAAAACACCTTGAAGTACGGGCAATTTCTTCAGCCACTATAAAGCTTGCTTTCACTGCAGCATCATTTTTCGCTGTAGCCTTTGTAAACATTTGCTGCTGTGATTGTAGTTTGCCTTTTATTTTATTTTTTATTTATTTTTTAATAAATATATTTTATTGATTTTGTACAGAGAGGAAGGGAGAGAGATATAGTTAGAAACATCGATGAGAGAGAGTCACCGATCAGCCGCCTCCTGCACACCCCCCACTGGGGATATGCCCGCAACCAAGGTACATGCCCTTGACCGGAATCGAACCCGGAACCTTTCAGTCCCCAAGCCGACGCTCTATCCATTGAGCCAAACCGGTCTCGGCTGTAGTTTGCCTTTTAGTTCTTTAACAATTTTATGCTTTTCTTCCAAAGTATATTTGCCATACTTAACATTATGTTTGGTGTCAAAATGACGACGTATATTGTACTCTTTCATCACCGACACTGTCTCATAACACAATATACACACCGGTTTGCCCTCTCTAAGCACAAACACGTATTCATTTTCCCATTTGTCATTAAATTGTCTGCCTTCACCGTCAACTTTTCTTTTCCTGGACATTTTGGGATCAATATTGGCAGTAAAAGATGTAGTTTACTGGAAATCTGCGTTAGAAGGAAAAAGTTGAAAACTGCACAGGGATAGCTTGATTTGGCAGATGGAGTGGAGAAAAAAAAAGTCAGTCAATAAATGCCTGGCTGGGTACAGATAGCAGATTCTGTTGCGATTTTTATGCCTGCACTTTATGCCAGGAACTGGCAGCTTCTGCTGTGTATTTTTTATGCCCGCACACTCACTCTCTCCTCTGCTCTGCCACCCGCACAACCACATCGGATGCCGGACTATAGGTCATACCTCCTGAATCTCGCGTGACTTGTTATCTATGCACATGCGTAATAGATAGCAAGTACAGTGGCCGGCGAGGCAGCCGGCGAGATCACAAGCCTCCTATGTCACCGCGCGTCATTGTGATGGAACGCAGCGGAGTGCAGTGATGACAGCGCGGTGCGGGCCATATTGCAAGGCCTGGCAGGCCGGATTTGGCCCGCGGGCCTTGTGTTTGACATGTGTGAGCTAGGGCATGAAATGTATTTTAATAAACACTGTCTTTATAATTATTCAAAGTGTATGTATACACTTTTTTGGGACACCCTATATTATTCAAATTAATTCCACTCAGACAAGGGGGTGGGGTGAGGTGGGGACAGGGTGAGGCTGGGTAAAAAGGAGAAATAAGGGACATCTATAATAGTGTCAACATTAAAAAATAGCCAAAACTAGTTTGGCTCAGTGGATAGAGTGTCGGTCTGTGGATTGGAAGGTCCCAGGTTTGATTCCAGTCAAGGGCATGTACATTGGTTGTGGGTGAGGGATGTGCAGGAGACAGCTGGTTGATGTTTCTCTCTCATCGACGTTTCTAGGTCTCTATCCCTCTCTCTTCCTCTCTGTGGAAAATCAATAAAATATATTAAAACAAACAAAAAACAATAAAAAATAATTAATTTCACCTGTATCTTCTTCTTTCTTAATGCGCATACTAGAAAAATTTAAATGACATTTGTGACTTGTGTTATATTTACATTGGACATCACTGAGGTGTAGTTTAACCATTTATCTTGTTGAGGCATTTAGTTCCCAGTAAAATACTGGATTTAAATTTCCCTTCATATAATGGAGTTATGGAGACAGAATATTTAAAATGTTTCATCTTACCAGTTGGTTTTCCGGAGTACCCACTAGTGGCATATTACATATTGGTGCAATGGACATTTATTTTTTATTCAGTTTCTTCTTAAAGTGGAGAAAACTCTTTGTAAATGTCCTAAAGAAATATAGTAGCTTTCTGTTCACCCTTTGCAAGTAAAAAGGGTGGATCGTTCCACTACTGACATACACACATCTATAATAATAAAAGCGCAATATGCTAATTAGACCGGACAGCCTAATGACTTTCTGGACATCATTCCGGATAAAGCCAAGGAGGCGGGGGCCATGGCAGAGGTGGTTAGGGGAGATCAGGCAGTCAGGCAGAGTGATTAGGGGCGATTAAACAGGCAGGCAGGCAGGCGAGCGATTAGGAGCCAGCGATCCTGGATTGTGAGAGGGTGCAGGCCAGGCTGAGAAACCCCCCTCCCCCGTGCACTAATTTTGTGCACCAAGCCTCTAGTATAAAGGTAAGACAAACATAAAATCATCTGAACACTGCACCAATTATATATATATAATTATACACACACACACACACACACACACACTAGAGGCCTGGTGCATGAAATTAGTACGTTGGGGGGGGAGTCTCTTAGCCTGGCCCGCACCCTCGCAATCCAGGATCACTGGCTCCTAACCGCTTGCCTGCCTAATTGCCCCTAACCACTCTGCCTGCTTGCCTGATCTCCCCTAACCGCCCTTGCCTCCTTGGCTTTATCCGGAATGATGTCCAGAAGGTCATTTGGCTGTCCGGTCTAATTAGCATATTGTGATTTTAGTATTATAGATTGGTGCAGTGTTCAGATGATTTTATGTTTGTCTTACCTTTCTCTCCTTCACGTATTAGATTTTATCTCTATTTTTATTAAGGTATATATTATTTTATTTTTAAACTTAACTTATATTTCTTGGTTGGTGACCTTGAATTTAGAGTTTGAGAGAACCCATTTAGAAGGTTATTCTGGATTTTGACCTTTTAAAAATACTAGCACGTGCCCAGCATTAAGGTGGTGAGGTTGAGGTGCGGGTCTGTTTGTTTTCTCCTGCATCCCCAGCTCCTGGAACAGGGCCTGGTCCTTAGCCCCTCAACAAATACTCATTGAGTGATGGACTATAAAATCATGTCTTTTTCAGAAAAGCTAGCTGTTCAAAATATATTACATAACCTGGTCACTTCTTTAGCTTTATTCCCCTTTCGCTTAATGTTAATTTCATTATATAAAAAGTTCTCCTCTTCATATTTAAACTCTTCCATCTTACGTTTAATCGTTTCTGGCTTTGGGGGGAAATGGAGGTGATCTCCCTTCCATAGCTGGATTAAATATGCCATTTAATTTTCTCTGCCCTATTTATTTTATCATTTTCATATAACTTTTTGGGGTTAATTCCAAATGGATCAATATACATGTGAAACCTGGATATCAATTAATTCATCTCCAGTCACTATTTACTCGTCCCCAAAATAGTCTCTGGCTCACGTTTTTCTACCCTGTCACGTTATTTGTGTCTTCCTATAGTATAGTTTGAACAAATTAAGTCTTTTCTTTTGGTTCATTTCTATTTTTAATTCATTCGACCTTAGAATTTTGATAACTCACTTTACAAAATGTTAATGAGGTAGAATAAGTTTATGTTTACCTTTACACAGACATCCTTTTTTTTCCTGGCATGCTTGGCCAGGTAAGCTTTTTTAGGAAGGCTAGAGAAGAAGAGAAATTAGGCATCTAACTGAAGAGTTACAAGCATGGGAGGACGTCTGTACAGTTGCTGATGTTTTATGCTTTGCTTGGTTCTGTTTTATGTTTAAATTCCAGTCTATAATGTATCTATCTTTTAGCTTCTGCTCATCTTTGGCTTAAAAACAATCAGAAGTACATTTTTGTAATTAAGTAAAAATAGTTCATTTACATGCTAGTGTTCCAAACATGAACTTGTGACTTTGACTCTGGAAACTACCATTTGCTTATAATGAGATTAGTTAGGAGAGTCAGAGAGTCATAGTTTACTTTCATCTGATCCTCACCCTGGGGAAGAGAGGAGGGCTGTCTAAAAGGGTGCATGTGAGGTCATTGTGTACAGTCATGATTTGTTTGCTTATCTTTTTCTTTTAAAGGCACATAATGTAATGATTAGGAGCCTCAGCTGAGGAGCCTGGGTTCACATCCCTGCTGTTATTTAACACGTGTGCCTCAGTGTCCTCGCTGTACAATGGGGATAATAATAGTACCTGCCTCATAGGGTCGTTACGAGGATTAAGTGAGTTAGTATCTGTAAAGCATTGAAAAACAATGCCTGGCACATAGTAAAGGCCATGCTACTTTGTTATAAATTAATTGTCATCTTCGAGGAGGCAGTTTACAGATTCATGATAGTCATGAGCTCTGGCAATAAACAATGAAGTTGCTCTTGTGGTGGGGTGGAGTCTCAGGGAGTCACCAGAGTTCATCAGGCCCAAACCACCCAAGATTTGGCCTTGTGAAGGGAGAGCTCTGCATAGAGACGGTAGCACCAGTCGAGTGTCCAAGAGGAAATGGCCCCACCTCAGAGCCATGCAACTCAGTCTCACCTTCCTGGAGAGACCTTCAAGAGAGTATGTACCAAGGGCCCAAGCTGCATAGCCAGCTGACGGCTCTGTAGGGGCCACTAGGAGCTGGGAAAGTGGGGCTGGTAGATCTCCCCTGTGGGGCTGCACTGGTTTGGTGCTTGTGGAGGGAGGGATGGCCCCGAGCCTGCATACAACTCAGTCTCTGACACCTCTGAATTCATCCTCAAGAGCCCTCCAAGAAAGAAAGATGACAAAGCAGCAAAGAAGTGCTGCTTGAAATACAGGATACTTGACTTTGGGTGGTGAGCAATGCTATATACAGATGATGTATATATTGTGCACTTGAAACTTATGTAACTTATTAATGCCCCCCCCCATAAATGTAATATTTAAGAAATATTTTTAAAATATTTTAAAATAAAATGTACATCCAGAAAAAAAAAAAAAAAAAAAAAAAGAGCCCTCCAAGAACCGAAACCGGTTTGACTCAGTGGATAGAGCATTGGCCTGCGGACTGAAAGGTCCCGGGTTCAATTCCGGTCAAGGGCATGTACCTTGGTTGTGGGCATGTTAAGGCAAAGATGAGCAGAAGCTAAAAGATAGATACAAAAATGTACTTCTGATTGTTTTTAAGGTAAAGATGAGCAGAAGCTAAAAGACAGAAAAATGTACTTCTGATTGTTTTTAAGGCAAAGATGAGAAGAGGCTAAAAGATAGATACAAAAAAAAAAAAAAAAAAAAAAAAGCCCTCCAAGAAAATCTACAATACATTGTGGACCCCGGAAGCTGATTCCTTCGCAGGGTGTGAGCTCAGCAGGGTGGTGACAGTGGTTGAGAGTATGGGCTGATGCCATATGGAGGGGAGTGCTCAACTCAGGTAGGATGGAGTGTATGGAAGAGAAACTTAGGACAGGGACCCTGGCAGCTGCCCCTTCAGCTCTTTCCCTGGAGCCACCCAACCCAGTCTGTCCTCCAGAATGCCAGTCCACTCCAATCCATCCTCCCTCTGCTGGAGCCCAGGGTGAGTGGCCACAAGGGAGATTCTGTGCATTGGCCCTTTAAGAGGGCGCCTGGGTTTCAAGCAGACTCGTCTCTTCCCGAGAATCCTTGCTGGTTTTCACAGCCAGATGTTTGTGGGCTTCTTTCTGGCTCTGGTGCTCTAGTCTGGGAGCCCAGCATGGAGTTGAGATCCCACGCTCCTCACAAGGACCTTTGCAGCTCGGATATCCCTCTGGATTTTTAGCTGCCACATGTGGGGGTGGGGCCAGCCCTTTCTATCTCTCTGCCCTCCTATAAGTTTCTATGTGGTTTCTTTTGTAAATTAAAAAAAATTTTTTTAATACATTTTATTGATTTTTTTACAGGGAGGAAGGGAGAGGGACAGAAAGTTAGAAACATCGATGAGAGAGAAACATTGATCAGCTGCCTCCCACACACTCCCAACTGGGGATGTGCCCACAATCAAAGTACATGTCCTGGGACCCTTGAGTCCGCAGGGCAACACTCTATCCACTGAGCCAACCTGGTGGACTCTTTTGTAAATTCTTGGTTATAAGACTTATGTTCAGTCTTCAGTTGGTTATTCAGGTTGATAGTTCTATATTTTAGCTGTGATTCCAGTTTGGACCTGGGCGGAGGTCAGTGTAACTTCTACCTTACTCTGCCGCCATCTTGGATCTCCAAGCTAAGCACTTTTTAGAAAATATATATATATATTTTTAATTGAATTTTAGAATTATAGAGAGAGGGAGAGAAAGGGGGAGGAGGGAGAGAGAGAAGGAGAGGAACATCACTGATGAGAGAGAATCATTGATTGGCTGCCTCTTGCATGGCCCACATTGGGGATCAAGCCCACAACCCAGGTACGTGCCCTGACTGGGAATCAAAGGCGTTTATAGGTCGACACCCAACCACTGAGCTTTTGAATTTGGCATTCTCCAATACAGGAAGTGATTTACTACCCAGGAGATGGCAGAACATGGCATTGTTATATAGAGTCAAAGAAACAAACTTATGCAATAAGAGGACTTCATTGTTAAGTTTGTTCACTTTTTGTTCATGAGGTTTTTGTTTGTTTTTATGGCTATTAGTAGTCTTTATTTTACTTTTGTAATTTGTTTTTTCAGAAGAATGTATCAAAAATGCTTTATCTCCCCCTCATAATGTGTTTGTGTTGTTTATCTCTTACATATATTCACTCACCACAAACCTCAGAGCCGGGAGCCCCATGTGGGAGCTGTGGGAGCTGGCCCTTCAGTCTCCCTGCTTCCCCAGCTGCCTCTTCAGGCTCCACTTTGAAGCCCTGGCCTGCCTTCGGACAGGTCCTGGAGAGCGGGTTTCTGCTCCAGGCACTAGAGCAGGGGTCCTCAAACTTTTTAAAGTGGGGGCCAGATCACGGTCCCTCAGAGAGCTGGAGGGCCGGACTATATGAACTACTAATTCCTACTGTAACACCTCGGCTGCGCTCACTGCCCAAAAAACCTGGCGGGCCGGATTAGACTCCTCTGCGGGCCGCATGTGGCCCGTGGGCCGCAGTTTGAAGACCCCTGCTAGAGCCTCTGGCCTGGGGTAGGGGAACAGCTCCTAGATAGTCACTGAGGTTTCTCGCAAGAAACAGGCCGGGGGGCCCAGTTGGAGCGTCG